CATCTCATTTCTTATACAGGTTATCTGCTTCCTCTCCTATTTTTCTTTTGTCAGTTTGACCAGTGGTTTATCAATTTTGTTGATCTTTTCAAAGAACCAGCTTTTGGTCGTATTACTCTTTCAGTTGTTTTTCTATTCTCTGTTTCATTTAATTCTGCTCTATTTCTTATTATTTCCTTTCTTCTGGTGTCTGAGGGCTTCATTTGCTGTTCTCTTTCTACTTGTTCCAGTTGTAAGTTTAATGTTTTGATTATGACCCTGTCTTCTTTTTGGATGTGTGCATTTATTGCTATAAACTGACCTTTGAGTGCTGCTTTTGCTGTGTCCAAAGGTTCTGGTAGGATGTGTTTTCATTCTCTTTTGATTCTATGAATTTATTTAGTCCATCCTTAATTTATTCTACAATCCATTAGTTTTTGAGCAAGGTGTTGTTCAGTTTCCATGTGTTTGATTTTTTTCCTTGCTTTTTCTGTTACTGATTTCTACTTTTATGGCTTTATGGTCAGAAAAGATGCTTTGTAGTATTTCGATGCTTTGGATTTTGTTAAGGCTTGCTTTATGGCCTAATCATGTGGTCTATTCTAGAGAATGTTCCATGTGTGTTGGAAAAGAAAGTGTACGTGGCTGTTGTTGCGTGGAGTGTTCAGTATATGCGTATGTGATCAAGTTGCTTGATTGTAGCATTTAGCTCTTCTGTGTCTTTGTTGAGCCTGTTTCTGGATGTTCTGTCCTTCACCGAAAGCGGTGTGTTGAAGTCTTCTACTACTATTGTGGAGCTGTCTGTATCTCTTTTGTGTGCTGTTAGAGTTTGTTTTATATATTTTGGAATCCTGTCATTGGGTGTGTAAATATTTATTATAGTTATGTCCTCCTGGTGTATTGACCCTTTAATCGTTATATAGTGTCCTTCCTTATCTTTTGTGGTGGACTTTACTTTAAAGTCTGTTTTGTCAGAGATTAATATTGGCACTCCTGCTCTTTTTTGAGTGTTGTTTGCTTGATATATTTTATTCCATCCTTTGAATTTTAGTTTGTTTGTGTCTTTAAGTCTAAGGTGTGTCTTGTAGGCAGCATGTAGACGGATCATGTTTTTTTATCCAATCTGCCACTCTCTGTCTCTTTACTGGTAGAGTTAGTCCATTTACATTCAGTGTAATTATTGAGAGGTATGAGTTTAGTGATATCATTTTGATGTCTTTTTTTTTTGTGTGTTATTCATAGCTTCTTTGTTCCCCTTAATTTTCTGTGCTGCGTTGGTTTTCTTTATGTATTTTCTTTTCATCTTTTTCATTGTTGTTGATTTTGTGTTTGCTGAGTCTTTATCTTTTTCTAGTTTTTTTATTTTGACTTGTAGGATTGTTAGTTTCCTTTGTGGTTA